CAGGGTACGAGGGTTCACCAGTCAAAAGTGACGAAATCATGCCATCTTATGGCATGTTGTTACTTTTTATTCAGTGACTGAAAACAGCATACAGGGATGAGTACATTGGACGAGCTTGTGGTACAAACAAAGATTTAAGTTTTGTTCCATCACATACAGCATAAATAAAGTCTGAAACAACTATCCATGGTATGTAATGCATTTAAAAAAAAAGGTATGTATGGGCTTCACAGGCAGGCTGACTTCCACATTGTCATGTCTGTGGCCGTTTCCGAACATCCGCCCTATGCCCTAGATCCCTCAATACCTATGTAGTGCGTGGACTATATATTTCCCCTCATCTGGCAAACCACAAGTGTTGCACACCTTTGTGTTTGTTGAAATGGGAAATTTATTTCCATCAGTTTTCCTGATTTTCCTCTTGCTTTCTTTTCCGTTTTTGGTAGGTTAGTGGATCCTAGTTATTTATATTAAAAAGAATAATAGCTTGTAACAAGAAGTTGTTCATATTTTAATAAATGTCAAAATAGACCAACTGTAATTGTCAGTAGTTCTTCAATTTGATCTGCTTTCTCCATTGCTGAACTATTCAAGTTATAAGGGTGATTATATGGAGACATTTGATATTATTTTTATTGGTTTGGTGCATGGGGAGAACATACCAACTCCATGCAGAAAGACCCTGTGTCATAATCCTGGCACTGGTGGCTGATTGCTCATTTCATCCACCTGTTTAACTCTGCCCGGTTTCTCATTACTGCTAATCTGTTCCACCTGTTTCCAGCTCCTATTTATGCTGCTTGCTTTCCAGCTACCGGTGCCAGATTATTCAAGCTGTTCAGTGTGAGTAACTCTTGCGTTCTGATCTTTCTTCTGATTGTCTGATTCTGACCTGTTTCTGCCCTGTGGATCCTGAGTTTTGCTTTACCCCTGTCTACTCTGTTGATCTGCTCTGTTCTGGGCTTATTCTTGGATTCTACTGGCTTACCGAACCTGGACTGTTCTTCTGACCTCTGCTTGGATTCCCCATCAGTACCTCATTGGCTCTCTGATCTTCTGGTCCAAGAACTTGGTTCTTCTATGACTTCGGCTTTGGATATTCCCTACTCTCTGCTGGAGCTCTCCTAGAGAGATTTATGGGAAATGGAGGCATTCAGGGCAAGCTTTACCATCAGAGCTGCTTATGATGTTTTTCCGACACCTGAAAACCTAAGCCAATGGTATGGCGATGACCCCACATGCTCCTTGTGCCCAAGCCCAGCAACACTGAAGCACATCTTAGTGGGATGCAAGACCAGCCTTACCCAAGGTCGCTATACCTGGCGACACAACCAGGTGCTCAGCAGTCTTTCAGCTGTGCTGGAATGCCAGAGGATGAGTGCAAATGCAATTTTTGCACACTTTTTGTTTGAGACGGTCAAGCCAGCTTCACCATCACCAGTATTGCTGACATCGGGCAGCTGGGCAGAGCACAGGAATGGAAAATGCCGGAGAGCCTGAACAAAAACTTGTGCTTTCCACCGGAAATTTCATCCACCAACCTGCGTCCAGACCTCATTCTGTGATGTCCCTCCCTCAAGCTGGTGTACATCATTGAGCTCATGGTACCCTGGGAGGGTGCCGTATAGGAAGCCTTTGAGCGGAAGAAGCTGAGATACACCAGTCTAGCAGCAGTGGCCTGACAACAAGGATGGAACGTGAAGTTACGCCTGGTGGAAGTAGGCTGCAGGGGATTCATGGACACCTCAACATCTAGGCCACTGAGGGAGATGGGGGTGCGAGGGAAAAGTCCACAGGTAGGCAATCAAGGACCTCTCTAAGGCCGCTGAAAAGGGCAGCCAGTGGCTGTGGACCAGGAGGAAGGACCTGGCCTGGGGCTCAAAGGGGTGATGGTTGGTGTGAGTGAACCTGGGATTCTGGGATTCACTGCTGAACCCTCTGGAGGAGTTGTGGGCCTATCAGTGAAACACCCAAGAAGGAGGGTGCCCACTTGAGAACCCAAGGCATGCCATCACCCACTTGATGACCACAGGGTCTCATCGGTGCCTTAGGCATCTATTGGGATAACAACATCTTGTCCTACTCAACAGATCTGGACACTGTTGCTCCTCGGCGTTGGCTGACATCAGCTCTCCTCATCACCCAGAATTCAGGGGGCAGGGGCCGCCTCTAGCAGAGGACATTCTCCCTCTTGGATTCATCTCCTTCCTCTGGGATCAGACTGAACTTAGAACCAAGGTCATGACTATTGCTTTAGTAGGTGTCAGCCCTTTATTCTTAGTCACTGACCTGAGTTTCTGTTCCTACAGAGGATCCAGTTTATCCATTCCAGCTGACGAGCAGCCGCACACTGTTAGTGACATAAAGACTTTTTGAACTTATTCAGATCTGTCTGTTTTTAATATTGGATCCAAGGTTTTGAGATTTTGACACCCTTGGCTGGGAATCAAACGCATAATCTCTTTCTGCAAGGTAACAGTGCAACAGCTTGTACCACTGTTGCACTCCTCTCTTACCAAGTTCCAAGAAGTGATAAGAAAAACAAAACAATTAATGTAACATATCATTACATTGTGCTTAAAAAATGCTTCTTTTTAATGCTCCCCACAAAAAGGCCTACTGATCCCTGGGCAAATTTTTAGTCATCCACATCATGGCAACCAAGAAATTACATTACATTACATTTACAGAATGCAAATGAAACAAGAAGTTAGCAATTTCTCTAGATATTTTTCTAAATTGCCATGTGGATTGCCTTTGCATAATGACTAGGAAGCCCAGAGGTATGGTGTTTAAGTGAGTTCTACATGCACGTCTTAACTTAGATGGTGTTGTGATATTTTACCAGTAGATTATGAATAATAATGTAATTAAATAACAATGTAATTAATATCTTGAGATGACCGAAACGTTCGCTGTATGACTAATCCATTTAAGACATTTAAACTGCCTTGACTTGAAATCGCTAAGGATGCTGCTCCTGCTGAAGATAAACCAGGAGTGTTTGTGATGTTACAACTGAGTTTAATGGTTTGAGTGAATATTGATTGCCAGCTAATTAAATCTCTGCAAAGTGGGGTGGCTCCCTGCTCACAGAACGAAGGGTCGGGGGAAAAAGTGGGTGAATCTATTCCTGCTTTAGAGAGGTTTGATAGACAGGGTGCCAAGGGAGCTCCTCCTCAGGCGACCACAGAGCTGAGTGTTGGTGTGAAGGCGCAGGGAAGGTTTGGTAGTACAATGCCTAGTTCCACTAAACAGAACAGCTTCAGAATTGAGAGGATGAAGGACCTGAGTGGCATTCATAATTTAGGTTAAAGAGCAGCACTGGGGCCTGACCTAATTCGAAGTACCATCTGCTATGAAACACCCTTGTTACGATGGTAGCAGGACAGCCAACTATGGGACTCTGGTCAGAGTCATCGCACTGAGCCGCAGCCATAGCCTAGAGCAGGGGTCACCAACCTTTTTAGGGTGAGGGCCACTTCAAGGGTACCGAGACGTAGGAAGGGCAACCATTACTGACCCATGAGATGCAAGGGTTAGCGTTAGCCTAAAGTTTGTTCATTATCAACATATTTTTATTGTTTCTGTTAATTTCTAAGTTTATTTAGACATTGTCATTTTGAAATCTCTATAAATGATTAAAAAGAACAGCAACAGAATAAAATAAAATTTCAAACTTAGCCCACTGGTGGGTTGTTCTTTATTTAGAAGACTCTGAGGGCCCCCCATGGGGTCCTTGAGGGCACCTTGGTGCCCACGGGCACCGCGTTGGTGACCCCTGGCCTAGAGGCTATAGAGCAACAGATCCAGAAGTGTACCATGAATGGTTTCAGAGGCCTTCTAGGAGGTCAGAGCGGAAGTTTCCATCCTACTGGGATAGCTGCTGGCTACACTTGTCAGACGAGAATTTGGATGGCCCGACTCCAACCCTAGAACTGGGACTACGAATATGGCAACTTGAATCCCTTGCCCAAGACATTAAGCGTTTTGACCCCAGTAACACTGAATCCACCATTGATGACTACCTTAGAGAGGTAGAACGCTGTCTCATAGACTTGCCTAATCCCTCTTTAGGTAAGTCACAAGTAGAATCTGGAAAACCACTTCAAGAAGTGTTCGTGTGTTCATGGAGAGCCTTCAGCCTTCTATTTGAGACTGCTATTTTTCTCTTTGCCAGGCTTTGATAGAGGAATACTAGGTGCACCACTGACCCAGCTTATGTGATGTTCGGGGACCTTGGCATCTAGCAGAAAAATAATTAACAGCCAAAAGAATATTACCGTCTTTACAAGCTGCCTATTTTCAGGGGCGAAATGCTCTTGGTTGGGAGGAAAACCACAATCTTCCTCCACAATCTTCATGAGAGCATTAGGGATGAAGTCACAGATAGCAGATAACATGTGTCCATCCTAGCAAGGGAACAGATAGCGAGAACAGGGTTGGTTATGGAGTCAGATATGTGGTGGATAACGTTTTGTTCATTGAAAGGTTTTATCTGTACGATTGGGCTTGGCTGACATCTAAGCACAGATTCCAGTATCTCTGTCGTGAGGGGACTATGAATATGATATTCGTGACAAGAGTACTGCTACTGAAGCTCCTTGTAAATGTTATTATCAACCAGAACTGTAGTGATAAGTTCTGCATCCATTTTTTGCCTGCTTTGTGTTTCAAATTTTATGTCTGCTAGGCGACAGTGCTTATGGGCAGTGAAAGCCAGAGAAGGCTGGACAAGTTTAAATCCATACCTAAAACTCTTCTGGCCTCTTTATTTTCCTGGACCTTGAAGGACCCAGTCCAAACAGACTGGATCCTTGGAGGATGCAGCCTCTGAATCAAACACACCCTATGAATGATGATGCCTCATTAGAGTAAGGGGCGTTCCAAACCTGCAGATGTGTTAACTGTGTTCTGATCAGGGCAAATTAAGAAATACTTGATCTATGAGTTAGGTGAAGTCTTGCTCTCTGAAAAGCTTCCCCGCATTTAAGATTGACATGACTAACAACAGCTCTGTTGATGGTAAATCCTTCATCCGCAAGATTAATGATAAGGTGATAATTGTACAAATTTTGGTGGTAATTTTTCTATGCATTAACTTTGTGTTAATTACAACTTTTTTTATGAAGGAAATCTTCTACACAAACATGCGCTACATTTTATTTGCCAACACACTTTTTTGTGATTGCACTAATTTAGTAATCACAAATATTTTGCTGAACTTAAGCTATTTTGCTGTTCCTATACCATTATGGCTCTGCATTATCCTCTTCATTGTATCATCTTTGTGTAATTTTGTCACTCCATTGACTCTGACAGCAATGAGCCTGGAGCGCTACGTGGCTATTTGCAAACCACTGTCTCATGCAGAGCTCATTACCTCAAGCAGAGCCCTGCAGGGCATTCTCCTGATTAACTGTCTCAGCATTATACCCTTTATTGTAATCCTTTTATTGTTTTTCTCTTCAGTCAGTTTAAGCCTGTTAAAACATTTTGTTGTCTGCTCTGTAGAAATGTTTATTTTGTACAGATGGCAGAGTGATGTTAGGTCTGCAATTAGTCAGCTTTACTTCCTGATCATGTGCATCCTCATTGCCTTTTCATATATTCAGATAATGAAAGTTGCCAAAGCTGCATCGGGAGAGAATAAAGAGTCGGTGCGCAAAGGACTCAGAACAGTAATTCTACATGCTTTTCAGCTCTTGCTCTGTCTTATGCAGTTGTGGACCCCCTTCATTGAAGCTGCCATAATTCAGATTAATTTGAGCCTGTTTGTAAACATTAGATACCTTAACTATATATTTTTTAATCTTGCTCCACGATGTTTAAGTCCTCTGATCTATGGACTCAGGGACGAGGCCTTTCTACTGGCACTGAAACACAAGGTGTTTGGTTGCCCATTCAAGAACAATTTGAAACTCTAGTTCTTAAGCATTGACATTGAAACATTATTATTGACCTGTAGAAACATCAAGCCTTTGTATGCCTACAGATGTACTGTATTTTTTTTAAGTTTTACTATATCATTTGAACATACTTTAACCAATGTACTCAGAACAGATACTCTAAAAAGGAAGAAATAGTGAACATGGTTAGAAAAAGCATAATAGCTATTTTTTTTACTTTGTGATGTTTGTCGTAATGTGAGCTTAATACCTTTATAGTTCAGAGTAAGAGATGTCAGCTGCTTACATTTTTTAAATGCAGGTCATTAGTTTTTCTTATATCAGTGACAAAAAACTAACTTGTTTCATTTTTCCTAATGTCTAATTGGTGAGCACTACTAGTAATATAATAGAAAAGATAAATATCGTATTTGCACAATTATCTGAGTAATTATGTTTGAAAATGATAAGAAATGAAAAAAAATGTAGAAACAATAAGATGTATGAGATGAAAATGTTTCCAGCAGGTGAGTTATCTGTGTTGCTTTAGGACCCAATGTTAATAAGGAAGCTTATGCTAATAATCAATAAATCATAGAAATGCTTGGTTCTCCTGTGTGGACAGGAGAACGAGTCTCAACCCCAAAATGTTCTCATTTAAACAATGTTATCTTAACCTTTTTTAACATCTGGTGGTTGTACATAAACCATATATGCAATTATGTGTCAAAGAGTTGAAAGCGAAGAAAAAGTTAAGGAAAGAAAGAGGAAAAAGAAAAAAATTAAATCTTCTGAGGTGACACTTTTTAAAGTTCCATGCATAACAGTTTAAATACATTCAGCAATTTTTGGAAAAAAAAGTTGTAATTGCTTAAATAACATAATGTACATATGTTTAGTTTTTTGGTGCTGTGGCTATAAATCTGATAATGTCTGGAAATTATGGTGTGATAACTGAAGCTTCAGTTAAGTGAGTAGGCTCCTAATTTGCATTGTTTCAAGTACATTTTTTTTTCTTCTGTTGTAATGTACCTTCATTTGCTAATTAAAAACCTGAATTTCCCCACTGTGGGACAATAAAGTATTATTATGTGTATTTTGGCTGATTTCTTTTGTTCAGACCCCCCCCACACACACACACACATTTTTTTAAAGTAATTTTTCTGACTTTATTTTATAAAAGCTTCACTGTTTATTATAATGGCACAATTTGACAAATCAAATTCTTATCTATTAAAAATCGATAGGGATGTTCGATATGGATGTTCAGTTTTTTAGGGCTAATAATATTTATGATCTAATAACATAAATGTGTGCAAATTTGACAAAACAATTTTGGATTCCAAGAACGGAGCAAGAAGGGGGCCAGTGGTGACCATGGCTAACCATAGTCGATCATTGGCCACCCCTACCACAGTTTCTTTGCTGTTCCCCTTGAAGCATAAATGGCAATGGTCGGTACATTTCTTTTTAGCAGGACGTATGACTTTTAACATGTTATAATTATGCTATTGATTTTATTCATAAGTGTTTTAAAGCGATGTTTGGTTTTACATTTTGATTTTACCCTTCTATGATGATTTTACCTGTAGCAATTTAAGATTTTTTTTTAATGTAAAGTGCATTACAAATAAAATGTATTATTATTATTATTACTTATATAGCACTTTTTCAATTCAGGAGACTTGATCAAAAACTACATTCAGTCATTCACCCTCTTCATGCACACACTCATGATGGCAAGCCACATTTTAGCAACAGCTATGATCCTTCAGTCAGGGTTGGGATAACTGACAGAAGCAAGGCTGTTGTACACAGGAGCTACCAGGCCCTCTGACCACCATGAGTAGGTAATGCGGGTGAATGGTCTTGCCCAACGACATCGAAAGCTGGAGCAGGTCAAACTCCTGCGTCTTACAACACTGTCTTCCCACATACTTCTACGACCTCCAGAAAAAGCTGTTCACCTCTAAAACAGAGTGCGGCAGAAGTGATGATCTCAGGTGAAATGTTCTAACCAGCTTGATTTTTCAGTTGTTAGTTTATTAAAAACAAACTGAAAACAAAATGAGAGTAATAATTTAACTGTTGACATAAAATTACTAAAGTTAAATATACCATAAACAGAATTCACCCTCTTTTCTAGTACTATTTTTTATGATTTACAGAAATGAGGGGATGTTTTGTTCCTCTGCAGTTATCAAGAAGTCTTCTTTAAAATGAGCAATAAAGAACCCCTGCTCAATCCATTCATTGTGTATATTTCAACCAATTTAGACAATATACATGGATAAATATTTATGTAGAATTAGGTAGTGAAGGCTTTGTAAAAATCTAGCCTGTGTCATTGATTTATTTGTTAAAGATGGATGTTTTGCTCATTCACTTTCCTGCTGGTACAGTGTGATTAGACTCACCCTTAACTTGTTTTAGTGCTGATCAGTTTTTGGCCACCCTTCGATGTACATTGGCCACTGTCTAGCCACCCCTATGAGCATTTTCTGGCTCCACCACTGTCGAACTCCATCATTTTTCTTTGCCTCAATCACTGATACGGCTAAAAATGACTACATGTTTAGCTGCATGTCGTCATTCAGGTACTGGTTGTCTCTGTGGTGCCCTGAAAATGATGAAGGATATGTTGATAGTTGCCAAACTTTTGAGGGAAAACCTGATCTGATTCCCAGAGACAGCATCCATCCCATTTTGGATGGAACAGCTCATCCCCTAGTAATGTGGACAAATTTAGTCTTCCAAAACTTTAACAGCCCAGGTTCAACACCAGGAAGCATAGATTAAACCACCTCTCTACAGTTTCTGTGCAGTAACATACAAATTACTCCATTCAGACGGTATAAAAAATATAAAAAAAAAGTCGGGATAATCTCATTAAAGTCATTATGAGTCCAAGTGAACAAAAAGTAAAAACAATTACATGTGTCTGTATTTGTCATTTCAAATCTCTGCACTGCATTTGATACAGTCGATCAAAATATTGTTTAGAAAGATTCCAACATACTGTAGGAGTTAAGGGAAAACACTATGCTGGCTTAAATCTTATTTGTTTTTTCAATTTCAATTTGCTCATGTTAATGATAAATATTTAATGTTAATGATGAATATTTCTCAATTTCAAAGTTACTTGCGGAGTACCTCATGGATTAGTGCTAGGACCTTCACAGTTTATTTTATAAAGGCCTCCATTTGGTTGAATTATCCAACAGCATTGGGTCATTTTCATTGTTATGCTGAAAATACTCTGAAGATACACCAAGGATGAAACTGGCTTGTTTTTTAGATTACAGGCATGTCTCGAGGAAAAAAAAACCTGGATGACATTTCTGTTTTTTTTTGTTTTGTTTTTTATTCAAACAGGACAGAAGTTATTCTCTTTGGACTAGAGTCCTTAAAATATAAGCTGATTAGTCAGTCACTTTATCTGTATGACATTAAATTGGCCTCTGATAATAACATAAAAAAAACATATTTCCGAACAGGACTTAAATCCCATATCAATTCTAAACTTCCCTTCTTTGATTTCTGGAATGTTACAAAAATGGGATTTTTCTTATTCTAGGTTTATACTCTAAATAGAGAATGCTGCTCCAACTTAAATTAATTGCTTCAATTGGTAACAAGCAATTGACTCAAGTTGATCCAACTTGATTTTTTAAGTTTTAGGGTTGAAAACAGTTTTTTTTTTTTTTTTAACTAATTAAAGCAGTTCAAGTTTGAGCTGTTTTTTCTTTTCAGAGTACATGGCGAGAGACTTTGCCTTTGTTACTTTAAGACTAGACATTGTAATTTTTGCAATCACCAAGTCTACAAAATGCAATTAAAAGGTGTCATTTGATCCAAAAGGCTTCAGCCAGAGTTTAAAGGGAGTTTTTTTTCTCTCCACTGTCACTGCATGTATTCTCAGTGTGCAGAATTGCTGTAGAGTCAACAGCACAAAGCAAGTGAATGTCTCCTGTTGCACCATGCTCATCCAGAAAGGGACAATTCTGCTAAATGACAATTCTGCTGCTAATGACAGCTCGGTAAAATCAGCAGGGTTTCCTCAAAGAGAAAGCTTTTAACCAATCTGTCTGTATGATTTGATTAAATTGTCTCTCTACAGTGCCTTGAGATGGGATGTGTTGTGACATAAACAAAATGAAATCAATGGATTTGACTTTCCAGTGTAATACCCCTATTTGTTCCAGTATAATTGCCTGTACTTATATAGAGCTTTATACTATATTCAGTCCTTCATAGACAGACTAATGGTGGCAAACCATAATAATAGCCACAGCCGCCCTGGGGCACACTGACAGTGAGGCTGCTGGTGGCCCTGTATCACATCTATGCAGGTGAAGTGTCTTGCCAAAGGACACAAAGACATGAAAGCCAAAGCCGGAGCTAGAACCGACAACCCTTCGATTGCAGGGCAAACTCTTACACCCAATGTCACTGTCGCCCTAATAATATTTATTTTTGAATCATTAACTATAAAAATGTTTTTGGTGCTCAGTACAAAGCAGGTGACATAAAACAAAGTTTTACAGCAAAAGAGTTTTACGCACCGAGTTGTGTCATAATGACACCATTGTGTTGAGGTGTGCATCCTTAACTTTACTGTAGAGAGGTGGATTAAATAACATTTTCTTTCTACAATGAGTTCTGATGCACCTATTTTCCCAGTTTGTTTCGTGCATTACCTCTAATAATGTTTTGTATGCTCAGTACAAAGCAGGTGAAATAATAAAATAGTTTGTCAGTAAAAGGGTCTTACACTTCTCCACTAACTGTAATAATTATGCAGTCAAGAGGTGTGTCATAATGATAACATTGTGTCCACGTGTGCTCTGTGCATCCTTAAGTTTACTGTACAGAGACGGCTCAACAGAGAACATTTTGTGCCTACAATGAGTCATGATGCCACTTTAGAGCTTGGAGAGCTGAAATGAGAGTGATCTTGTTTCTTTGATTTAATGCTTATATAGAATATCTTAAATATGTTAGTTGTGCTGATCAAAATAATATCTGTATTTTAAGGTTGTGAAAAATTTCTTCTTGTAACTAACAAAGTATTGGGGATATTTTTACAGTGGCCTGATAACTTTTTGAGGTTTTTCTGTATCCTATACAGTCTTGATGTCTAACAACAGCTCTCTGGATGGTGGTAAACCTTTACGGCGAGTGATGGGTGATCAAGGGATTTTTGTACAGGTTTTTGTAGCAGTTCTTCTTTGCATTAACTTTTTGCTGATCATAACGTTTTTTACGAAAGAAGCCTTTTTCACAAACATGCGCTACATTTTATTTGCCACTGCATTATTTTCTGATTGCATAAATTTAATTATCACAGATGTGTTGGTGCTGTTTTACGCTTTTGCTTTTCCTATACCCATGGGGTCATGCCTTATCTTTTTCATTGTGTCATCTTTGTATAATTATGTTACTCCCCTGACTTTGACAGCGATGAGTCTGGAGCGCTATGTGGCTATTTGTATGCCTCTGTATCATGTAGAGCTGTGCACCAGACAGAGAGCCCTGCAAGGTATCCTCATCATACACAGCCTTAGCTTTTTACCCAGCATTCTGATTCTTATAACCTTCTTTTCTATAGCCACCATAGGCTTCTTTGAAAAATATGGAATCTGTTCTGTGGAGGTTTTTATTTTGCAAAGATGGCAGGGTCATTTTAGATCTGCAATAGGTCAGTTTTATTTCTTAATCATGTGTATCATCATTGCTTTCTCCTATATTCAAATAATGAAGGTGGCCAAAGCTGCATCAGGAGAGAACAAAGAATCAATACAGAAAGGACTCAGAACAGTGATTCTTCATGCTTTCCAACTATTGCTCTGTCTTATCCAGCTTTGGTCCCCCTTCATCGAAGCCGCTGTGCTTCAAATTGATCTAAATCTATATATCAAAATCAGATTCTTTATCTATGTTTGTTTTAGTCTTGCACCACGGAGTCTGAGTCCTCTGATCTATGGTCTTAGGGATGAGGCATTTTTACTTGCACTGAAACAATACTTGTTCTGTTTTGCAGGAATTAACAAGTTAAAACTCTAAATTTCCCATATTATTCTACATTTGAAAACAAAAAATGTTAACATATTTGTAAGATATATCATATACTGAGCTTGTGTTAACAGGCCAAACTGAGCTTCAGAATTATATCTAAATATCTCAGATAAGGCAGATGACCTTTACCAAAATTCTTCTTATTCAGAACTCCTCTGGACAAGCCAGTTTGGCTTTCCATGCCCACGTGCTCCAGAAGGCTGTACCCAAACATCCCTCAACCATGAAAACTAGTCAGAATTTGTAAAACTAGCCGAGTATCTAATTTATCTAATAATACATTAGATGAAGGCCGTAGAATGAGTGATGTGCTGCTAAAAAACACTCTCCACAGCTTATTTCCACTTATGTTATGAGGGGAATGCTTTTCAAAAGGATAATTTTCTTCTGCTGTGCAGTAATGCCAGGTATAAGGAAAAGAGTCAGAAATGTTTAATTTAAGTTGATGAAAAATGGAAAATGTAGCTTTAATGTGAAAATGTAAATAATCAATTAAGACACCTGCCATTTACATTACATTAAAGATTATATATGCATGTGAACACTGTTGTGCCACAGTTATATTGATTTTACATAGTGGTGGAACAGGATGCCCGTTTGCTTTCCTGACTCTAAAAAGAAGTCCTCTCTGAAAGACACTCTTTCCTATAAAAGCCATGCTCCCTCCACATCCCCATTTTTACGCATCGATCCAGTGGAGAGGATGTCATCTGAATGTCTGTTCCTTCAGGCTGAGGCAGCACATTCTTCAACTGTTCAAAGTGAAGACCTGCAACATACTTAACCAGATAGTTGCAAAACAGGCTGTCTGCAATTTTTGTTTGAGTTTGCAGGAAAACAATGAAACTATATATCCAGAGACTGGATAAAACATGAAGCCTCACAAAGGAAAGCCAGATTCCTGTCTGGGCTATCCAGACTAATCCTCATCATGCTGCTCAAATTTTGTTTCCTGAACTCTAATCCACAAAACCTCACATATAGCAAGTTGAGTGTAACTGCCAGAAAATTACGTGATTAAATCTTAAACATAAAATCACAACAGCATATTTTTGAAATGTTTGAAAAGCATTCCCCTTATAACATAAGTGGAAATAAGCTGTGGAGAGTGGTCTTTGGCAGCACATCACTCAATCTATGGCCTTCATCTATTGTAGTATTAGATACATTAGATACTCGGCTAGCTTTACAGATGTATATCAATTTATAGGCCCACATTAATATTTAACACTGATTTTAGAATGCCAAGAATGCAAAATTATACAGAAATCCAGGTATCAACTAACCTGCGATTACATATAGTCCTATTTGGTGTACAGGTAAGTGGCCAGGGCTTATGATAAATTAATTCACTGGCTGCAGGGCACTGGACACTAATGGACGGCTATTGTTACCACGATAACTATGTATTTTTTTCAATATTAGTGGATCAATGTATCTATGGATCAATATAAAATCATCTGTCAGCAGGTGAAAAGGAAGTCTAAAAACAGACTTGGTTGGACCTGTGAATCATCTCATGAGATTCCTCTTTTATTCTCTTTTCCATCACACAGTATTTACTGTGCGAGTATTCCTGTAATTACTCCAAAGCTTTTTTTGCCCCTCATTACAAATTACCATCTCAACTCTTCACTAAATTGACTTCCCCAATTTTCTTTATTTTGGGCTTAAATTACTGTTTATCTTCAGTATCTAAATATTTCTCTGGCAACCTTCCTTAGCAGTTATTTCATCTGAACTGCTTTCTTCCAATTCCCAATTATTTCTTTAATTGTCAAACCACATTTACCTCTCCCATTTGAAACTGTTGTCCAGCCTTCCTTATATCTACTTGATTTGCCATTTTGTTCAATCCACCAACCCGTCAGGCAAAAAAACCCAGAATCTCCCAAGTCTGATGTTAAGTTTCAGCTGTGTATTTGAAATGCAGACAAGACCTGGAGAGCAAATGACATGGGTTTGGCAGGGTAACGGCAGTGCCAAGGCAAAGGGTCTGGGAGGCTGGTGATTTTCTAATTAATCATTGTTACTAAGGTAAACATGCCCACTGTATTCAATACCAGCACAGCAATGACTTATGCAATAGCTATATCAGGAAACGAGTACAGCACATCGTCTGGGATGGTGATATCAGCCATAGTTAATGATTCTGTAAAAACCAAATTAGCACAAAGTAGCACTGAAAAAGTAGGCTAGATAATATTCAATTAAGAGCTTAATGGGGGGGTGAGGGAGGATAGCTGACCTAAATATCTCAAGCACATTTTCTAAATGACCACTTTAAAGGCACAAACCTGCACTAAAGCCATGAAGGCACCTGAAACGGCAGCGAGCTACCAGCGGGGCTCGCAAAATCACCGCCTCCTGTGTAAACGTACCATTGGACCCAGATTTAGAAGTGTTTGCCCTTTTAAAGGGAAGCCACAAACTGCAAGCTTAACATTTTTACTTTGAAATGTTTTAAAATTTCATTGGGAAGGCTTCCAGACATTCCATTTTTCACATTAAAAGGCTGCAGATTCCAGCTCCCCCCCCCCCCTTTAGCTCATCTTGGAAGTTTCCCTTTGACCTTTGTCATTTCCAACCATTTGATAAGGTGTGGTTTTAAACGTAAAACATTGATAATGCCCCACCAATCCCATCTAGTTCTTAAACTGATTTCACATTCAGCATGAAGTCTAGTTGGGAAAAAAAAAAAAAAAGGTTAAATTATCTTTAGGTTTTGCAGAATCCAGTCCAAACAAGCCAGAGGTTGTTTCTTTAAGCTCTGCTGCAGCCCATTTAGTACAGTTCTATTTTAGAATTGCTTTTTGCAGTACAAATGCGTCTAGTTATATCCCTACATCTCCATAGCAGGAAAGCCTTTTAGCTTTTCCTCTGCAGATTACCACATTCCCCGCGATCAGGATGCCCAACAGAGTAGTGTAAAGTGCACCATTCAGGCCTCCCACATCCCTTCAGATAGAGCCTGAATAACTTGGCAAACAAGAGTTTGATTGAAAGCAGTTTATTTAACCAGATAGCAGCTCTTGAACCTGAAAATAAAATTTCAGAATCAGATCAGTAGCCAAACCTCAAATCTAACCATTAATGTAAAACTCACCATAGCTTTAAGATTTCTTCAATGGATCCACGCCTTGATGACCAACCTTTTGCCCTGGATGGGGAAATGCTGGAGGCTGGATGGCATCTGATCGTGTCGGGTCGTAGTTGAATGTGGAGACCCGATACTGCTTACGGCTGTAACGTGATCTAGACTTTTTGGAGTAGACTACATCTTGTTCGTTTACAGGAGTGAACTCTGGCTCATCCTCACCAGGATCAGATGAGGAGCTATAGCTCTCCTCTCCAACCTGGACAGAGCTGCCATCACCTGGAGCACCATGATGGCTGCCCTGCTGGACCCCAGAATTTGAACCACTGCCAGCACCTCCGGCACTGCTTGGGCCACTGCTGTAGTAAAATTCTGGAGGGCTGTAGCCACCAAAAGTGCCAGCCTGTCCACTGGGATAGTGGTAGAGCGGCAGATATGGCTCCTGTTGAGGGTCTGAAGCTCCATACCGCAATGGTGGCCGATATTCAACTCCACCATCTGAGGAAGCAGTTCATGTAGTCAGAACAAACATCAACAGCCAATTTCAGACTTCATGTTGGATTAAACTCACATGAAAATTGAGGAGCACATGTGATGCTTCCAATAAGCAAGAAGGAAATCCACAAAATCCTGCAGACACATGGTGGGATATATCATTAAAAGCATTGAGACCAGAAAGTTCTACAAAAAAAACCTTTTCACTCCAGGATTCAAACTCCTGCTGAGGCAGACCTCACCTCATTGTGGTGTTAGAAGAGCAGGATAGAGCTCAGATGCCTTTAATAGAGACTCAAACCTGCAGGAGCTGCTTTTATATGATCTTCAGAGCAGCTGAAGATGATTGGAGCTGATTGCTAAGTGGAATCAGAACCACCATCATGGAGCTCCTCTCATTGGTTTTCTCTTTCTGAAGTTGGAGGAGGAGAAATGTTACACTGTAAACACTTAGAGGAGCAACAGAACCAGTAGGGACAGGAAGGATGGATCTAAGAATGACAGAGGTCAACAAAGTTTTACAGTCTGTCGCCAGGAAGGGATCAGAAGAAGGATCTAAAGAAAGTCTTTGATCTTTAAGAGAGGTTTTCACTTAAGGGGCCCATGGGCGGATCTAGAATGGGGCCAACAGGGTCATGGTTCCATGGCTGGCTCTGTTTAGGAAAGAAACAGTTAAGCAGATGGAGTAAGAGTAATCTTTATTTTTCCTAATATTTTTTTTTTAATTTTCATTATTTAAAGCTGCAAAGCTAAAACTTTGTTTCTTGGTCTGGAACCTGGGCTGTCGAGTCTTGAGGGAACAGCCATTTTGTCTAAAGTGGGTGTTTTTGAGGACAGAACAACCATTGGTTAGATGAATACATGCAAACATGCAGCTACACATGTTATCTTTGATCTCATAAGGGACAAACACAGAGGAAATTATGGAGTCTGTCCTGGGTTTTGGTGGCCTTCAATTTGTGTAACTGGGTGTCATTTCAAACATATCTTACTGACTAACCTTATCTCTAGACAGCAGTTTTTGGTAGAACTGTATGTTGCCAATTTTGGCCCTTGGGAAAACTTTGATTATGGTCCCCTGTGTCTCTAATGCAATGTTTCTAGCTATGGAATTACCAGATACCAGTAGGCTTTTCAGTGGGTGTTTTGCAAAAGGAGTAAAACTGATTAAAAACATAAACACTTTGGTGGTGACCCACGGGCTGGAATCCAGGACTATAGGGTCCACTGACTAACTTCCGCTTGGCTTAAGAGTTCTTACAAATTTTGTAAGATTAATGAATTAGTTTAATTAATTAATTCAGATTGACTACTAGGCTCAAGCAATCATTACATAAAGAGCAAACATAGAACCCAAGTTACACTACCTAAGTAAACTGCCAATGCAGCTACAGAGTGTTGCTGGCTGACATAAGCATACAGCAGGAGCACTTCCAGCCCCCCTAACCAACCATTGGCCACTTCTGCAAGCATACCCGGACTGGCCACAGGGAGAAGCGGGAAGCGCCAGCCTGGGATTGGCCTGCTGGCCTGCATCTCTCTGGAAAGACCAGGCCACTTTGGCCAGTAGCATTTGAGGAGGGACACAGAGAGCAGAGTGTGGAGGAAGGTGTGTGAGACGTGTGTCTAGTTCCAGCTGCTTTGGTGTCTGTAGCTAGCGAGCCGTGCAAGTGAGGTGCAATTTTTCGTAACATGAGTTCCTCTCTCAGTCAAACGTATCAATGATTGTCCAAAAGTACAAAAACTGAATAAAGACTATTTTACTTAATCTTTTCATTTGAGCATTTAATTTTTATAAATGCTTTCCTTAAATACAAAATAAAATCATATTATAAACCTGTATTTATAAAAATTGAGCTTCCCTATAGTCACATTTAAACTTGACGAATTGGGAACAAAACTCATAGTCAGAGTGACTTAACTTGTTTTGCTTTGTTTTCGTCAAGACACCTTATCTGCTTTGATGAGCTCTGATAGCTTAGTGTGAAAAACAGCTGATCCCAGTCTGTTCTCTACATCTAGTCTGTACCTCTGCTTGGTTTGATGTGTTTCAAAGCTACGGTGAACTCAAACATAATAAAAACTTAATTTTTGGTTGATGAAAGCTTGTTTGATTTTTCAGCTGTGTCCTCACAAAGCAAAACAGATTCCAGCCCTATTTTATTTTAATACATAAGAAATCAGTCATGAAAAAATCTCCCAGTCCAGCTCTGTCTGCAAGGTGATTTGTTGTTCGCACTGGGAGAAAATTCACAACCTCTCTAACAAGAGGATGACAGCAGTGATACTATCGTGTAGAATGATCTAAATTGACATTTTATTATGTTAGCCAAAAACTGACAACAAAAATACAGAAATTAATTATTCACAACAATATACTAAAGAGGACAGAAAATATTTGTAATTAAAGACTAAGACAAGTTTCTCAATGCTTTTATTGTATATATTATGCTGCTCCTTAATTAATTTAAACAGCACCAATGCATAAATGCATGCATTTGGGCTAAAGCTTTCAAAGCTACCAAAATCAAAGTATTTTTAGCCTTGCCCAAGAATGGCCATTGTGTGTGCTTCTGGACCTGCCTGAGCTCTTGAAGCAGTGCAGAAACATTTGCCAACTTTATGTAGGCCTATCCATTTCAATGTATTCCATCTTTATTTGTTTATTAATTTATGTAATTTCACTTATAACAATTGCCCATTGTTGGATGTACATTGGCTTCAAAAGTAGTTTCTAAACCGTAGAGCTGACATAAGTATTTTTATATATATACATATTTTGCAAGAGGCAAGGTAAAAATAAAATATACAGCATTCGTAACAGTGTTGCACCACTGGGTCACCAGATGTCCCTCCTGTCTTGCCCGCACCTATAAAGATTTTCTGCAGAGTTCTCTCAGATGGCAGCACAGAATGAGGGTGAAGAAATCTGTGAATGTGCCATGCTCAGGTGGTTGTTGACTGGGTGACTGGGCGTAAATAACATTTCTGTGAATATTTTAATTATAGCAAAGATAGTCAAGATAGTCAATATATCTGTTTAGAGTAGTGTGATTTTTTTTGTTGTTGTTGTAACTGGCAACATTTTTGTATTTAGATCTGTCATTATAGTCCTATATATATCTTTTTTTTACAACAAAGAATTACATGGCATCCAACAACTCGCTTCTAGAGCAGTTTTATTCCAGAAAAATTAATTACAAGGTCATTTTAGTTCAGGTTTTGGTCTGTGTTTTTCTCTGCATAAATGTTTTTCTGATCACAACTTTTTTTCTAAAGAATTACTTTCATACAACCATGCGCTACATCTTATTTGTCATAACACTCTTTTCTGATTGTCTCTTTCTGATAATGACAGATATGCTTCTTATTTTGAGCTACTTTAGTTTTGCCATAGAGATATGGCTGTGTATCATTATCTACATTATTTTGTCTGTCTACACATTCGTCACACCCCTTACTCTCACAGCCATGGTCCTGGAGCGCTACGTTGCAATCTGCATGCCCCTGCGACATGCAGAGCTTTGCACCACACGCAGCACGGTCCACCTAATCCTCACCATACACAGTCTCAGCTCAGTTCCCTGTGTTGTTGTTATCTCTATATTTTTTGCATTCACATCTTTTACTTTCTACACCACAGGCAGGATATGCTCTGTGGAGATGTTCATCTTGTACAAATGGCAGAGTCATCTGCGATCAGCTATAAGTCAGTTTTACTTCCTGATCATGTGTGTTGTCATTGTCTTCTCCTATGTTCAAATAATGAAAGTGGCCAAAGCTGCATCAGGAGAGAATAAACAGTCAACATGGAGAGGCCTCAGAACGGTGATTCTTCATGCTTTCCAGCTGCTCCTATGTCTCGTCCAGCTATGGTGTCCCTTCATTGAAGCTGCTGTGCTTCAGATTGATTTCGTGTTATTTGTCAACGTTAGGTACTTTAATTACATAACTTTTATTCTAGCTCCAAGATGTCTGAGTCCTCTGATCTATGGTCTCAGGGATGATTTGTTTTTTCAGGCTGTCAGGTACTATGCTCTCTGTGGATTATACAAGAAACAACCATCGGGTTAAGAAATGCATACTTGAGCTAGTTTTTATCTTATGGTTTTATTTGTTAGAAAATGACATAATATGTACAATTATAATAATTATTTACACAAATCTGTCAAATAAAAGTAAAAACAGCGCCCTTTTGGATGGTTTCTGTAAAAAAGATTTAATTGACATTAAAGTGTCCTTTATGTGAATGTTTAAAACTAGATGGCATTTTTCTTTTTTTTCTGACATGAATGCTCAGATTATTTCAGTAGCAAGACAAATCAAAAGTGCTGCACATGAAAAAAAGAGACATAATGGGAGAGCAAAGATGAAAGTACTTTGCAGTGGCATAGGGGCAATAAATAATTAATGAGCATGAATAATTAAAGAGAATATAATGAACAATTATAATGTTAAGATGATAATAAAAAGGTAAAAAATATTAACAATAAAATAAGACAGTTGAAAAACTTCAAATAATGTGTAGATTGCACATTGATGACATTTCTGAAATGTCAATATCAACACAGTCTCTATTAGACTGAATTGATGTGATTCTCCTATGATGTTATATTAACTGCAGCTGACAAATATTTTATAATCCACATTTTACCCCCCTAAAACACTTGGAAGTACTCAGCTTTATATTTTTCCTAAAGATAAATAAAAGCAAAGAGGCTGGTTAGGTTACATACACATCTGTATAAATATTTAGCCATCTGGGCCATGGTATCTACAAATTTTTGGCTCTTACCAACAATTCTAGTCGGAATTGATGATAAAGATAGTCAACAATAAAGTGTTGCATATCATCAGGTTTCTTTTATCATAATACATGTTATTACAGGGAAATCGGAAAAGGAAACTGAACTTCGCAACATTATTAGAGTTTTGTCATTATAAAATGAATCATATCTATTTATTTAGTAAGTCGGACTCGTTTCCGGTGAGGGTTGGACTCCGCCAAGGTTGCCCTTTGTCGCCGATTCTGTTCATAACTTTTATGGATAGATTTCTAGGTGCAGCCAAGGTGTTGAGGGGATCTGTTTTGGTGGCCTTAGGATTGCATCTCTGTTATTCACAGATGATGTGGTTCATGAGGTTAGGTTCATCAGGGCGTGATCTGCAGCTCTCCCTGGATCAGTTCGCAGCCGAGTGTGAAGAGGCTTGGATACGGATCAGTGCCTCCAAATCTGAGACCATGGTCTTGAGCCGGAAAAGGCAAAGCTCTCGATTTACCGGTCAATCTATGTTCCTACCCTCATCTATGGTCATGCAGTCTTGGGATTCCCCCAGAGGAACTGGCCCAAGTGGCTGGGGAGAGGGACGTCCGGGCCTCCCTACTGAAGCCACTACCCCCCCGACCCGACCCCGGATGGATGGATGGATGGATGGATGGATGGATGGATGGATGGATGGATGGATGGATGGATGGATGGATCTGTTTATTTAAATTGTATTCAAATATTTATGTTTGTATATGACATAGATATACATCATTATATTTATATTTATGGTTATAAATAAAGAACACTTTAAGTAATGAAATGAAAAGATATGATTAATCAACACATTAAGAAAAGTTTAATATTCCTAAGAAACTCTGGAAATATAAAGAGACATGGCAGGTTATTCATTATACGTTTTATTAAAGATTCAAAATGAATACATATATTTAGTATTTCAAATTATCAAATTAAATGTAGCAACCTTTATATTAAGTAGTGCAATCTTCATTCATTATCACATTGATGAAACTCTACATACACTGAAAAAAATAATGCATCCGCTTTTGGCATTTATTTTTAACCATATTTAGTTACTTTAACACAATTGTCTTATGTCCTACCCTGTTTAAATGAAACAATTGTGTTAAAATAACTAAATATGATTAAATAGATGCCAAATACTGTTGCATTAACTTTTTCAGTGTATTACTTTGGTCTTTGTATTTGCACTTAGAAGACAAACAACACTGTTGATTTATTCTGTGGTGTAGTCTAGTCTATTCTAGTGGGTTTGCTCAACCTCATCAAATATTTTCAAGCATACAGTAAGTAACGTTTCTGTATAAGTAGCCATGTTCTTACTTCAAGCACATGACTTACTGGCCAGATTCATAGCAAAAAAAGCCAAAATGTGAGTTAGCCGTTTAAAATATGCAGGCTGACCTGTTTTATGTTAAAAACAAGCCAAGTCTTTTTGAATATTATCCAATCTCGACACAGCTAAGCAACAGTTTTGCCCAATCTTATATGCAGTAATTCTAAAAACGTCTTTGCATAGCTATTTTTAGATCTCTCTAAAGAATTATTTTAAGATTCAAATCTAAACTCTGGTTTGGCCTCTTCAGGACATTCACAGAAAGTTTATGGAGTCACTCCTTTGAGGTCCTGGCTGTGTCCTTTAGATCAGGCATCCCCAACCTCGGTCCTCGAGGCCCGCTGTCCTGCAGGTTTTAGAGGTTTCCCTGCTTTAGCACAGCTGATTATAATGATTGCAGTAGACCAAAAGCCTGTTAATCAGCTTTCAGTTAAAATCATCTGTGCTGGAGCAAGGAAACCTCTAAAACCTGCAGGACAGTGGGCCTCGAGGACCGAGGTTGGGGATGCCTGCTTTAGATTATTGCCCCAGTTTGATGTCACCTACTCTTTCAGCAGGTTTTCATACAGGGTGTCCATGTATATTTCTGCATTCACTTTTACCTCTATTCTAGTAAGTCTGCTAAGTCCTTGCTGCAGCAAAAAACATTACTATAGTATGATGCTGCCTCTATATTACCATGCTTCACTTAAAAGACAATGGTGGCATGTGCATGAGTGATTTCTGGTTTAATCCAAACAAGACACTTTGCATTCATTCTAAAAACACTTCTGCAACGGGTTCATGTTTGTTTTGGTCAGAGTGCCCAAAAGTGGAGGACAAATAACCTGGACAACAGAGGTAAGGTGAGCATTCTGGATCTGATAGAGCAGTAGTGTGAAATCAGTGCAAGAACACCAGCTGAGAGAGTTTCATAACTGGGAAGAAGCAGCCAGCGGTGCCCCCCTCTGAAGCTAAGAAACCACAACGGTAGCTCACAAGGAGAGAAGAGGAGAACAACAATGGATCGGAGAGGGCTACCAGGAAGACAGAATACTAAAGGTGGTGGGGAGGGGCTGCATCTGACCATGAGACCATTAGAAAGGAGAGCAGTATATCGTAGAAGGCTGCCAGGGAAACAGAGCATGAAGATGCTAGCCTCTAGAGGCTAACTGCTGGAGGCAGAAGGAGAACAGCTGAGGATCAGACACAACAGTGGAGCGCTGTCTGCTGTCTACACTGGAGGTAGGAAGAAGGAACAGTCCTTCTAGGGCTACATTAAAATGGCTCTTTGTCGATGATTAAGAATTATTAAAATCATTCTTTGTCAACATTTATTTCCCTATTTTCCAGTTTTAATAAATTAATCCTGCCTGTGTTACCACCTTTATTAAAACAGCGGTCATTTAAGTATACTTCTGATCTTCACTTTTTGTAGGTGCTCAGTGGGGCAGTGGGTAGCACTACTGCCTTACAGCAAGAAGGTTCCAGGTTCAATTCTTGGCCTGGTGTTAAAATGTAAGCCTTTGGAAAATATGTCCTCAGGTTGCATGTCTGTAAATACTGTTCTATTCTGTTTTAGCAACACAAGAGGGCGCAAAGAGAACAGTAATGTGGGAATGTGATCTCATGGACTTCCCATAGATGGACATTGATATGTGTGAGTTTTTCACAGCCCAACTGGCAGATGGTCACGTTATATCTTTCAGTGGAATAAATCTAGAAAATGAGAAAAGCCGTCACCCTCTTTTCTCCTTAAGCATATATGCTTTCCAGTTTTTCACCAGTCAGCTGGTAAGGTTGTTGACAACCTGCCTAACTTAGCGCATTGGGGTGCTATAAATATTTCTTCTTTAGTTTCTTCAGCTTGTTTATAACTTAATCACTGACAAAAAATGAAAAAGAAAGCCTCCTATGTCTGTTCAAGTAGCTCAACATTAGATTTTTGGTGCTCGATTAGATTTTGGTTTGAAACTTTACACTAGCCAAGAAGAAATCAAATTATTGTTGTCCCCTGTAGCCAAAAGAACAATCATCTTTGCTGTCTTTTTATTTAGTTGCCATTATCTTCAGTTGGCCCAGCGTGACCTCACAGTTTGCTCTGGAGAACCAGGTATTCCACAGTGCCCAACTAGAGCCACCGTTCCTTTTCTTAAACCTAATTTTTTATTGAAACACATGACATTTTTTTCAAAGTGGACAGGGTAAGTTAAAGGAACTAATCAGAAGCTTTAACCCGAAACATTAGTAACCAACTAATGTTAGGGTGACCATATTTTCATTTTGGAAAACCAGGACACCTTGGAGAGGGGGGTAGGGGGTGGTTGGGATCTCTGTTCCCATGCATAGAGATGTCTGTGGCA